TAGAGCATAAGCTTTCGTGGACTACAGCCCACTTCTTCGGATGCTGTAGTCCACGAAAGCTTATGCTCTAATAAATTTGTTAGTCTCTAAGGTGCCACAAGTACTCCTGTTCTTTTTGCGGATACAGACTAACACAGCTGCTACTCTGAAACACATAAGAGAGGCTGCTTTGACACCATGCCATGTGGTATTAGGAGAGTTCTTTCCTATACCAAGAATCTGGCTGCATGTCAGGGGATGGGTAGCAGTACAATGGCATGAGGACTGTAAGAGGCACCAGACCATCTTCCTTTAGATGCATGTCTGTGCATGCGCGGGTACACACATTGATATTGTCACCCCAGCTGGGATTAGGGAACAATATTTACAAGATATTTCAATTACTACAACGAGCAGGCCTGTATCAGTAGTACAGATAAACACAAACCAAGTTCCCTTCATCTAATCACCCATATATTTTGGCCTAGCTCAGAATACAAACCAGGATTTGGATCTGTTGAAGTCTGCTTTGCACTGTTCTAGCAGTGAAAAGCTGATGTAAAGCTTACCTAAGTGGCTGGCCGAGGGTAGGAGAATCTTTCATTGGTATAATTCTGCCTGAATTCTGACATTTCTTAAATGTCAAGTGTGTGACTTTGCCGACATAATGTTCTTTTAACATAGTGTTTTGTATATACTTTCCTAGGCTTTTATAAAAACAACTTGAAAAAAAACCAACAGAAATTTCATCCTACTGTGATTAATAATAAACAACACAGAGGGGTTAAAAGCCACTACCTTTGGAGCCACGACACAGACCTCGGCCACTTGAGCTAACAGAGTAACTGGTAGCAGTAGGTTGTCATCTCTATGTGGGTCAACCACTAGAAAGAGACGAGGTGCACATTTTGCCAGTGGATTGCACAGTTTGTTGCCGACAGGAGAAGAATCTTGATATTCAGGAATCCTATGTTCTATTCCGGCTCCTGAGGGGAGTGGTTACAGACCCTTCTGCCTTTGTCTCTTCCAGGCTGCCCCATTCCCAGTCTCCTGCCAAACCCTAGGCTCCTCATCCCACTTCCCATACCAGGGTTCTCATTCCAGACCCTCACCCCCCACTTTCCTTGTCTCCTTGTCCCAGCCCCTCTCCTTTACCCCACTGCAGCTCTAAATACAACTTCATCCCCCCTTACAGCTCCCTGTTGATTAGATCAGAATTTGATTTATTTCTGCTGTCTAAGCATTGCTCTGAAGGGTTTTCCATTTCGGTCTTTTATACATTCCCAGCTCTCTCTCACTCTCTGGTTTATTCTCCAAGACCACTGTTGTTTTGCGCTTTTCATGATATATCAGATTGTTCCTCTGGTGCTTGTGGTAACTCCACTCCCTCCTGAATGGTTTCCTCTCAGCTCTCCCCTCAGGTATTTCATCCCTTCTCCTACTTGCCCACAGCAGACAACAGATGACTTTTGTGTTATTGTATCAACCCATTTCTTTAAACCTAGCTTATCTTCTCTGATTCAACACGGTGTGTTATTTCATCATGAATGGTCCCAAAACAGATTTGTTACTCACGGGGCATCTAACATTTGTGCTTTCACCCTTCTGTGTATCTTACAATGAAAACTAAACAAACAAATACTCAAAACACTCTAGCCCTGCATATAGTTGGCTTATATTATATTAACTCACACTCTTACTGCTGTTTTCCTCCCTCCTGCAGCTGTTCCTACTGTGTAGTTTATCCACTGATGTGTCTTGTCTTGAATGAGACTGCACGCTTGGTAGGGCAGGGACGGTCCATGTCTCTATGTCTGAACAGTGCCTACTACAAAGGAGTCTCAGTCCTAATTGGAGTCCTCCAGGCACTACTGTGATTAATAATAAACTTCCTCTATTGGACTATGGCGTCTATTTCTCTGTGCATCTGTTTCTCATCACTGTTTCCTTCACAATTGAAAGCCCATTTGCAGAGTCCTAGTTTCTTGAATTGTTTCCATCTCGTTTCTGAATTGTGGATGTAGCTATTAATTTCTTTCCAGATCTTCCCTATTTCCAGTGACGCTTACAAATGCCAGTTCTGTTCACCATCTCACTGGCCTAACCTTTACTGTCGTCTGCATTTCTTTTTCTTCCCTTGGGGTATGTATCAGTTCTCCAGCCGCAATACACTGAAAGGTGGGATTTAATTTTCCCAAACAGCATACTTCCTATGCAGCAATACCCACTCCTGTTTGTTACATGTCCTTTTAGCTCCTCTTTACCAACCTCTGGCAAATCCTCCATTCTAGATCCTATCCTGTTTCCACTGAAGTTAGTAACAAAAGGTGTGTATTGGAGAAAGCCTCCTGCATTGGCTTGAATTGGAGTGTTGGACATTCAAGAAATAATATGGTCTAAGCCTATCCATGTGCATGTGTACATATTTCACCATTGTGTGTATTTAATTTTATGTTATTTAGATAAAAGGTCTACTGTGCACATATTAAAAAAAGGAGACCAGGCCAGCAACACAGGATTTCATTTAAAATTTTTAAACTTGTCTAGCTTGCTGGAGTTCAAATGAAAAGTTAAAATCAAACAAAAACAAAGAAACCCAGATACACCCCCCAAATAGCAAAACTTGGAATTTTCATGGCGTATTCTGAATGTTTCTGGGTTTCTAGACATGTGGTATTCAGACAGAAATGTGTTCTTCTGGTTTATCAGCTGACAGTATCACCCAAAGATTCCCAGCCCAGTGGAAAACAGAAAAACTTTGGTTTTGAAAATTGTATTCTGGGAATTTTGTCATGGTCTCAAGGCCAGAGCCCAGAACGAGGCATTTGGAGTTCTGGATTCTAGTCCCTCCTCTGCCACTGCCTTGCTTTGCAACATCAGGACAGTTACGTCCTGCTATTGCTAAGTGCATAGCTCACACCTAAGCCCCGGCAGGATCCTTGAACTAAGAGTTCCCCTGGTTATCTCATCTGCTGGGCCTAATCTGGTAGGTGTGCTCAGAGCATGCCTAACCCACATAAAACACTGCTGTGGTGGTGCTGCCCCCTTCCTTTGTACCACAGCTCAGTGGTTAGAAAACTCACCCAGGATGCAGGAGGCCCCAGTTCAAGTCACTGCTTCAAATAAGGCCAAGCAGAGATCTGAACCAGCATCTTCCACATCTCAGAGGAATACTCTATGCACTAGTCTGTTGGCTATAAGGAGTGGGAGAGGGAATGACCACCACCACTATTTTTTGCAAAAAAATAATGTCGGACCTAGCTTAGGCACCTATCTCCAGGAGAGGGTTCACGACCGTGAATCCCGAGTGGAGTTAGATGGTAACTACCTTTGAAGGGTGGGGCTAGTTTCAGCAGCTCACTCCCTGCTCACCTTGCTGGCTTTCTGTGACTCCCATAGACTCTCCCCATTTATTGTATAGGGAGCATGGACACCTAACTTGGGACAGAGGATTCCACTAGGTGGCAGGGTGCCCGAAGTTAGGTCTTGCAATTCTGAGCCTCACTCTCCTTTGTGGATCTAGCTCAGGGGTCAGCAACCTTTCAGAAGTGGTGGTCTTCATTTATTCACTCTGATAAAGGTTTCGCGTGCCAGTCATACATTTGAACGTTTTTAGAAGGTCTCTTTCTAGAAGTCTATAATATAGAACTAAACTATTGTTGTATGTAAAGTAAATAAGGTTTTTAAAATGTTTAAGAAGCTTCATTTAAAATTAAATTAAAATGAAGAGCCCCCCGGGCCGGGAGCCCACTGAAAATCAGCTCACGTGCCGCCTTTGGCACACATGCCATAGGTTGCCTACCCCTACTCTAGCCCAACTGACTAGCAACACTCTCCCTTTTATCACTCTCACAGCTTCCCATCAGCAGCATTCCTGGGTCCCCAGAATTGAAACTCTATTGTCTTGACCCATTGCATTTCCTGGTTCTTGAATAATACTCAGATTTTCACCCCTTCAGGGGTGCCCAACATCACTCATGAGTGGCTTCCTTTTGCTCTACTCCACGTGGCTTAAGTGGTCATCAAAATAAAAGGATTGTTTTGCTTTTCACCTTAGCACTTAGCCCCTGCAGTATAAATAGCCAATGATCTTTGAGGGCAACCATCACCAAATACTGATTTAAAAAATAAAAAATATATAGCAATTGCAATGACTTCCTTGAAAACCGAGGTGATTATTTCACAAGTGAGGCAACTTTTCTTTCTATCCAGCAAAATTTTGCAACAGTATCTCTGACTAACACTGCATATTTATTTACTTCCCAAACAATAAATACTCATTACTCCACTTCTAGACACATACATTAATCTGTTTGTCAACAAATTAAATGCTATCATCTTGCCAAGGCTATTGTGTCCTACTGCCTCACTGCTTTGGAGCCTTGTGTTTGCATTTTAAAAGCAAGGATGCAAATTGTTTGGAAAGCTGCTGAGTGCTTCAGCACTTACTGACTTGCTTGGAATTAAGTGCACTCAACACCATTCAGGAGGCATTCCACAGCTTGTTCAGAGACGGCGATTTCTTCTGCACTACATCCCAATGTCTATTCCCTGTTCTAGCATTGTTATTGTTATCCAAGAGAAGGTCTTCTTATATCAGGTTGCTTCAATCTTGGTTCCTAACATCGTCCCCAAGAAAGACTGAGCCACCCTGGCATCAGATGGAGTAGAGAGGAACTGGGCTGCAAGCTGAAGTCACATTTTAATAGGATTAAAATAAAAATTGCCAGGAAATCCTGCAGAGAGCAATCATAGAATGATCTGTGAGGCTATATTAAAAGTTAATCATTCCTTATCCTTCATTTGTGTTCCTAGCAAGAAGTGCTCACATGGTAACTCTAAATCATTGCAGCTGGGTTCTACAAGATAATCAATTGCAGTTCTCAAAAACCACTATACCCTGCTGTCCTCATTATAGAAAAGAACATACGATTTTTTTTTGAGGGGCGAGGGTGGGAAGGAAAATGAGTAAAGGCTATTTGGCCCCTCAAGGCTCATCAGTTTCTTTAGGAACATAGTATCTAACTGTTTCTTCAGTTACCCCGGTGTGTTTTATTTTTACCTCAACAACCTTGGCTGGCAGGCTATTGCACACATTCATTATTTTCACTGTGGAAAAGAAGTGCTGCTAGCTGTATGCCGTGAATTCTGTTTTCTTGAATCTTCCTGGTAGGGCCCCTTGGTTTATCATCATCATTATTAATTTCATGTCTCATTAATTCTACTGCTTCTGATCCTTTTACTAGCCAAGAAACCTTCATTGTCCACTGAAGAACTAGAAGATGCCTGCCTGCCAGTAACCGAAGAGACTCCACAAGCCTTACTTATTTCTGAATCCACAGATTCCCCACAGAAACCAATGGAAAGAAACCTAGCACAGCTCCCCAGCCCCCCTTCACTTCCAATTCCACCACCTAAGGCAATCTCCAAAATCAAGAGCGTAACAGGTTAGTCATGTTGGTCAATAAAGTCTCTTCCATCCCCTCGACATTGTCCTCTCCTTGTATCTAATTTTTCTCCTATATATATTTTGGGCCAGTTACTTAGTTGGTGTAAATCAATGTCATTGATGTGAATGGAGCATTAATGATTTACACCAGCTGAGGATCTCGCCCCCGATCTAGAAGCACTGTGTCTTTGCATGTTGCACATATATCAGACCTGTCCTGGTTTGTTTATTGCAGGAGGCTGCAGTAAGTCCACCTGCACTAATCCATGTAAAGCAGAGGACACTGACAGCTACCCAATCAGCCGCTTGTGCATGACTTGCCACAAGTCGCTATGAAACACAAGGAAGGTTAAATGCTTTTTGCTATACAGAATCAGTGTGATAATGGTCCAGAAGCAGTGAACTCAGCTGTCAACTGCAAAGCTCAAGTCAATAGATCCTTCAAAGCTTTCTGCCTGAAGGATTTGCTCATTAGGGCAGGTCTAAATTAGAGCGGTGCAAGCTCCTCTAATGACATATGAACAGTTCACCCAACCTTTCACAACCCACTCCCGCATCTCAGGTTTCACTCCGAATTTCAGGTTCACACACACACACACAGCCTGATTCTCTACTGTGCCACAACGGTGATCTTCCACTTTTCACCACTTCCAGCAGTGCAAAGGAGTTTGAAGTGAGTATAACGGTGATTTAGTCCCACTGCAAGGCTCCTTTACATTGCCAGAGTGTGCCCATAATCAGGCATCTAAACTGCTAACTGACAACCATTGTTCCTGCAATCATTTGCACCCCAACTTGCTGGTACAAAGAAAGAGGCCCCATTTGCAGGGTCACCATGAAGCAGAAGATCATAGGGTGCTGCTCTAATGACTCAGACTGATTGAAAGTTTTCTGTCTCAACTGATTTTCAATGGAAAATTGGGTTTTCACCAACATTATTTTTCTTGATAAAAGTGTCTGCTTTCCATGGAAAACTTTTTTTAAAAAACAAAATATAATGGCCAAAACCAAAACAATTTGTATTTTCAGCTGAAAACTGAAATATTTCAATTCAAAATGGTGGTGTTGTGCTTCACGGGAGTTGTAGTTCAGATGCCTTTTGTTTCCATTCTTCTCTATGGGCCAGGCTTTCTGGCCAGACTACAGGTCCCATGATGCAATATGGCCCAGGACTCCTATGACTCACCTCTTCCCCTCATCACATGGGAGATATAGTCCATCCTGAGAGCTCAACCCCTACAGGAGAATGGGCGCATATGGCACCCAAAGTACAATTCCCATGAGGCACTTTGCAACACCATTTTGCATAAAAATGTTGTTTGTCAAAAATATTTCATTTTTAGGTGAAATATTTCCATTTTGATATTTCATTTTTGTCTAAATTTTCTTCGGGGAAAAGCTATTTTTCAACCAGCTCTAATAATGGCACATCTTCTTCAGTTCTGCTTCTGGGAGTGGGAGTAATTGTAAGCCCAGATTGAACAAGTACCGTCTGTGGGAGAGGGCAGTGGGGTGGAGGTGGGGAGAGGGGGGAGAGAGTGACATGAGAGAAAAACAGAGGGGGTTGGAAAGCCCTTTATTTTATTTTTTTCCCTAACAGTGTTGGAGGTGCTGATGGTGGAGGGAAGGAGAGGGGAATAAGCCAAGCACTAATTAATCACAAAAGGGGGGTGGGGTGGGAACGGCAAGGTACAAGATACCATTTTGTAAGATTATTCCCTGAACAGCTCTCATTAGGACAAACAAAGTGTGATTAACAAAAAAGTGCTCAACATTAGACTAAGCTGTGTCCAGGCTGAACTGGCCCCGATGAGGCTCTGGGATCACGGTAGCATAAAGGTGACAGTAAAGTCCCCTAACCCCTCAGCAGCTTGGCTAGACCAGAGTATCCTTCCCTATTGCACAGAGATAGAGTATGAATTAGGAGGTGTTATATGGCCCTTTGAGCTGTGATTCAGTGGAGAGTGGAATGATCATAAATATCCATTGTGTGTTTCCACAGTGGCACCTAATCAAAATCCCCTTGAGCTCAGATATATGTCTCCTGGTAGCTGAGGCTCTCTGCCCTCTGGGTATGGAGAGAGCATGCTGATCAGTTAAAGAGGAAGGAATTTAGATGCTACTGCTCAGGTACACAGCCTTTGTGGCAGTGTACTTTGCCTACTAGACACTCCAGTAGATGCTCCTATGCTTTAAAGTGTTCCAGGTTTGAGGAAATAGATCACCTACATGGATTTGAGTCATTCTTTCAGCTGTACGTATACATGCATACGGAGAGAAGGAGGATTACCCGGTTGTTAGGGCATCATCATGGGAGACATGGGTTTGATTCCCTGCTCTAACTTTGTGTGACCCTTCCCAAGTCACTTAGCCTCTTTGTGCCTCCATTTCCCATCTGTAAAATGTCGCACTGTCTTCCCTCAGCAGGGGGAGGGAAGTGTTGAGGATAAATACAATAAAGATTGCGAGGTGCTCATATATAAGCGCCAGAGATAGCATACATTTTGTCTTGTTAAATTTACACACCTGGGGCCTGGTTTACAATGTGAGATTTCTACTTGTGCGCGCGCGCACACGCACACACACACACACATGCACGCAAACATCTCTCTGAGCACTAGACCAATGCTAACAGTTGCACATGCACAAGTGTTGTGTTTGCAGGTGCCACACGCATTTCCTGGGTGCAAATTCTTGCACATGCTGGTACTGGAGTTTTAAAAGTGCACACCGTAATTTTTGTGCCTGCAAAGTGCAGGCCCATGAACATCCTTTCCCACATATGGGCTCTGGGTAGAAACCCAACTCAAAATTTAGCCCATAATGCCATAGAGTTTCACCAGGTATCAAAAGTTTTTGTATATTGTTATGTTGCATGTTAGTAACTAACCACATATTTCAAACAATCAGTTTCCACTAACTTATGCAGGATTTCATTTTACACTCTTCATTTTCTATCTAATAATTTGTACTATAATTCAATACTTTAGTAATTTTATTTATTATTTTTAATTTGAAACTTGAAAAATATTTGATTTTTTTTTAATCTACTCAAATATATGCACACTGGACAAAATTCTGCCCTGGGTTACTTCATTGACTTTGTGGGTTGTGCCAGATTTTCACCAGTGTCCTTGAGAGCAGGGTTTGGGTACTGTGTAGGGTACCATGCAGCACAATTGTCCTGGAAGGAAATATCTTAATAACCTATGTTTATTATTATCCTTAAAGTGCTAGACCTCATTTTGAACATCTCCCGTTTTCTCTTGCAAGTTTCTGGGCTAACCAGGAGTCAATTCTTGAAATCCTTGCACAGAAATGTCAGGATACCACTGATAGCAGTGGGAGTTTTGGCTAGATAAGGACAACAGAGTTTACCTCACAGAAAATCAGAATGGTAAGGAGGGCCTGTAGCGAGACAAGGTGGGTGAGGTAATAGCTATTATTGGATCAACTTCTGTTGGTGAAAGAGACAAGCTTTCAAGCTACAAAGGTCATACCTGAAGAAGAGCTCTGTGCAGCTTGGAGGGGTCTCTCTTTCACCAACTGAAGTTGGTCCAATAAAAGATATTACCTCACCCAGCTTGTCTCGCTAATATCCTTGAACCGACACAGCTACAACACAACACTGCAAACAAAAAGGGTATGTGTCAGTTTAAATTCATATTATCAACACTAGGTGGCAACAAGAGAAAAGGAATAGCCTTCTACACACTCCAACTAAACCAGTGGTTCCCAAACTTTAACAAACTATGAACCCCTTTCACTAAAATGTCAAGTCTTGCGAACCCCCCCTCTTAAAAATGAATATTTCCAGGGATTTTCTCCTTTACCTGAGTATAAATTATAAAAGCAGTGATCTTGGAAATATAAAATTTGTTTTTGTGACATGCTTATTACACACTATTTATTATTATTTAGCATCACAATATTTTTATTATGTTATGAAAACGGCAACACTCTTCCAAGATCTCACTTTCATAGCGTGTATCACTTTGAATAAGCCTGTTATAAGACAAGGCCCCTATGTTTCATCAAGGAGTATCAGACGTGAAACAGCAGGAAAGTATTTAAGAAGCCACCTCAAAGAGTTCCTCCTACACAAGCATTCAGGTCTTGAGCAGTCCAGGCAAACAACTCACGTTACAACAAAGCTTAAACTTGTTCTTCAGAATAATTTTAAAAACAACACTAGCTGCCTATTTAATTTTAAAAACAGCAAAAAAATATCCACCTCCCTTTCCATTTCTTATAAGGAGTCTTGAAGTTTAAATCTCCTCAGTGTGATAGATATGCTTGCTTTGATCTGCTTGGCTCTTGGAAATCTAGGGGCTCCAGGCTGCTGGCCCCGTGCCCAGGGTCCCTAGGAACAGCTTTGTCCGCCATTAGGTAATTTTCCCCCGAGAACCCCCTGTAACATTTTGTGAACCCCCAGGGGTCCACGAACCCCAGTTTGGGAATGACTGAACTAAACAGATCTCCGGTGCTGGTGTGTCTCCAATATAGAAAGTACCACAACCCCGGACAGATATGTGGCCAGGAAAGTGCAATGAAAAGAATAAGAACTGCAGAAAAGAAAAGTGAAGCAACATCTTTGTCAAACAAGGCTCTTACCGCAGCTCCTCCCATGCAGTCTTAACCAGAGTGGGGGAAATATCAGAGGCACAGCAATAGAAGAGGCAGGGGTTTGTTGCACTGGGGTGATAGATATGAGTGATGGGATTGGAGAGGAGAATGTCAGGGATGGGCTGTTCAGAAAAGAGAAGAATCACCTCAGCCCAGAACTTAAAAGGACACCGCTATAAAGATTTTAGTGTAAGATTTCCAAGCTGCATTAGGTGGCTTGGAAAAAAAAATAAATCTCAGTTTTGGGTACAAAAAGCATCAGTTAAACATCCTCCCACTCCTCTTCCCCTCTCCTTGGTACTCGACCCCACTTTGTTCTTCGCTTAAATGCTTTTGGAACAGTTCAGCTGTGGCAGGTTTGGCTGAACGAGCTAATATCACCATATCTCACAAGCTCTGGTGTTTCCCTATATGGGGTGAGAGGCTGGGGCCCATTATGGGGCAGGGGGAGAAGGGCAGAGAATGGATCCTGGCACATTCTGACCTCAGTGAAGACCAGATTGACTTAAAATTTACACAATCATCTGGAGCTCAGCAGAGAAAGGTTGAGATTGGAAAGCCTGGCTGGTGGCCATCAGGGTTCATTAGGAATCAGGGAGAGGGGGTTGGGAGTAGTGTTCCCTTTAATTTTTAATGTCCATGTGTGGAATGAATTTTGTTATGTGCACCAATATGGAGGGGGTGGGGCCAAGAGGTTCGGGGTGTAGGAGGGGGCTCAGGGCTGGAGCAGAGGGTTGAGGTGCGGGAGGTGAGGGCTCTGGCTGGGGGTGAAGGCTCTGGGGTGGTGCCAGGGATGAGGGGCTCGGGGTGCAGGAGGGGGCTCAGGGCTGGGGCAGAGGGTTGGGGTGTGAGGGCTCCGGCTGGGGGTGCAGGCTCTGGAGTGGAGCCAGGAATGCAGGCTGCCCCAGGGCTGCGGCGGGGAGAGGCTCCTGCCATGATCGTGGTAGCCCCAGCTGGGCCAGGCTGGGGGAGGGGTACCTCTCCCCCGCCATGGCAGCTCCAGCAGAGTTGGGCTGGGCTCGGCTGGACCGGGGAGGGGCACCCTCTCCCCGCCTGTGTGGCCCTTTATAGCCTACTGCACGGCCGCACAGCTTAGCGGGAACTTAGGTTGGGAGTCCGGAATGGATTGTGATTTTGGGCAGAAAGAAAGAAGAATCCAATTGGAAGAAGGGAGTAAAATGGGAAGATGTCCTATTTTTCCAGGCTAAATCTTTGCAGCCTCAGTCCTTGGGCTTCAGATTGTTTAAGTATACAAGTCTCACCACACAAGCCACATCCCCATTATGCAATGGCACAACAACGACACCATTTTTATCTGTCCAGCATGTAGAATCTACCTCAACCCAAGCTCCGTGTGCCACAATGAAAGGCTCAGTGTGACTTTTTAATTACTTTGTTTTCAGCAGCAGGAAGTGAAGTAGATGAGCCAGCAGTGAAATCCCCTCCTTCCACTATCCTGAAGAATTATGTCATTGTTGGTTCCTCCCAAATCTCAGGACAAGCTGCCCTCTTCCATCCATCAGGCCAGAAAGGCTCCGATCCCCATGTCAGAGGACAGCTACCAACGCCGACCGGTTCCCCTCATCCCGCTGCTGTCCACCTGCCTTTACCTCCCAGCAGAGTCATTGAGGAGCTCCACAGGGCTCTGGCCACCAAACATCGGCAGGATAGGTAAGTATAGCACATAGAGGCACCGCGAATACCAGGAAACAGTATCCTTTCAATGAAAGCATTTTTCATAATACAAATTGCTGGTAAGAAAATATTTTTTCCTGTCATTAACACTCCACCCATTTAGTCTGATTAAAATCAGGTTGGTTCTGTCCGCACGCTGCTTGGTGGCCCTAGTTCTGGCATCGATCCATGGTTAAAATGAAAGTTTCAGCTGTTACCTTTATAATACACTACTTTTATGACAGGGAAGCTACTGCAACATGGAAATAAGGGATCAAGGAGGTGGAATCATTTGCTAATCCTCAGCCCAGTGTAAGAGGTGGCTCATCACTGTCTAAATTATGAAATTTTGATATCCTGCTTCTGTGAAGTCCTCCTAAAAGAACTGCACCCTTTCAGACCACACACGCCACTTTCATCCTGTTAGAGAGGAACTGATGTGAGGTCAAATGTTCAAAAGGGCACACATGCACAATGATGCACGACTACTCTGCAGGCAAAATTTCCCAAGGTTGCATGCACAAACCAGGCAATTGCACCCGCAAACGGTCAGTTCTGATCATGGGTGTGCAAAATCATCTGATCTGAAAAATTACCTGATTTTGCTGGAAACAGCCATGGCCTTCTCTCTAGCCTCCTGAAGCTTTCCTGATCATAGCTTTGCTGTCGGCCCATGGCTTCTCTGAATTGTTTCTCAGCCCTGCTCTCCCCAAGTCCTCCTGATCTCTTCTGTCTGTCCTCTTTATCAGTTGATGCTGTAACTTTATAAGCATGAACAGATCTACCAATGAGATGATCCTCTTCCCAATTAAAAGACTTCGACCCCTTTCCTTGTGTTGGTTCATTTCCCCATCTGTGAAGTGAATTTAAGAATAACCTACCTCAAAAGATTAACTGGTTACTGCTTACTGTAGCCCTGTGAAGATGCTCTACAAGTGCTCAGTATTATTACTTTAGCATGTGACTCTTGGCTTCGACATGAGCATATATGGTACCTTGTTTTGCAATACACATGGCTATGTAGGAGTGTGTTGGGTACATTGTCTGCTTTTCATTAGAAACCCTCCACTGCAGCAGTAGAGAAAGACAAAGGTAATTCCAAAGCTATATGATTGGTAACATTTCTCAATGCCACAACAATCTTTCTCACAGGAAACGGATTAATACAATGCCCTTTCCAGGCCCTGTTAAATCCTTGCCAGAACTTTTAGAAGGGCAATGTTTCATACAATGTATGTTTTACATTAGAAGCACATGCTGGGTTCTTTTAAAAGGTCAGCATGGTACAGCACACAACTATACATCAAAAAAACACATTAATCATTCCCCTCCTGTACCTTATTCTTGTGACAATGTTTGAGAAGTGGAACAGCCCCAGACATTCTCATGGTGATTCTGAGAATGCAGTCCAATGATGCCCCTGGTACATCTCACTGAAGACATGATGCCCGTGTTCATCTAATGCTAAGGTTTTTACTATGGCTTTAAAATGGACTTGTCTGTCAACCCAGGTGTGTGCCTTCCATCCACAGCTTTCACGGCAGAGAAAGCAAAGGGTCTCCCAAAAAAAGAGTGGATGTCCGTCCATCCAGAACATCTAGCATCGAGGGCAGCAAAGAAAAGGAGAACGCACTGAGCCACAGTAATGATCCGGAGAACAAGCGAAACTCAGTCAAAGAGTCAGATGAGAACAAAGAAAACCTGATCATGAACTCAGAACTCAAGGACAACTTGGTTTTTTATCAGGATGAAGAGGTGTTGAATGACTCCATCATTTCTGGTAAGAAAAGTTAATTTATTATCCTTATAAAAATATACCACTTCAGTTGACAAGAATGGTCCAAAATATCTCAGTATATGAGTGTGAAAATGCAATGTTATGGCACATTTTTTGTGCACAGATTCTCAGTGAATAGATAGCGCTAAAGTTATGCCTGAACGATGCGGTTTGTGCTCATGTCTGTCTTGGTAACTACAGCATACCAAAAATGGCATTTAGAGATACATAGATAATTCAATAGGTGCTGTCCTTTCAGTTCTGCCTACACCACTTTGTACCATCTCACCTGAATGGCAGAGCTTCCAGAAGGGGCATCTCATCATCCGTGAAAGAGGATTTCTGAGAGTCTGGTGCTGACAAATCACTTTTGGAAATGCCCCAGTCTGGAAGCAATGCAGTGATGGAGTATACAGTATAGGAGGCTATTTGGCAATGAGTAGCAGACCTATCTTGGAGGGACATGTGTCCATAGGCTGGGATCTGAAGAACTGAACCCCAGCTCCCCTGAAGATCTATTAGCGAATCTCTGACATCTCAGTGAATTGTTTCTACCCATCTGCCAAGTTGTATCTGTACTGGATTACATTGTTGAACTCTCTACAGCTCTGGTATGCCTACAACACACAAAAATGTGTCTCCCTCTGGGAGGTTTTGGAAGGGGTAATTTATTTATGAAGTTAGGTCAAAGATTAAATTTTCTCTTGGAAGCACTGCTCTGTGCTTATCTGAACCATATGACCTCTTAGCAAAATATTATGGGAACAATTATTATTATCCAGGCCAATTGTTTTATTGAGCTGAGCCACTGGGGCTCTTTGCTGTTTGGTGAAATCATATTTCAATCAAGTTTTCATAGTACTGGCCAGTTCAGCAGGACCACGTTCTATTTTAAATGAGTTTCAGTAGATTGGAACGGGACAGGCTTAGAGAGAGCCCACTGCAAAAGTAACCAGTGTAGTGTAGGAGATTGAGAAGGAATTTTAAAAGGAAATGTATCTAATGATAAGTAATGAACTGGATTATTGGGTTCTGATCCTAGCTTTGCTGCTGATTCTGGTATCTTATTGAAGGGTTGTTGTAGCCATGTTGGTCCCAGGATTTTAAGAGAGACAAGATTGGGGAGATAGTTGAGATAAGGTAGAAGAGGAAATAAAAGAAATCTTTTGCAGAATTTCCCTGCATTTAAGTGAAAATTCCCTTTTTAAAAACAAACAAAAAAATCTCCAGATAAATTTTTCCACATCTCCCTGGGAATATCTATTGTCCCAGATTATAAGAAGTCCACTGAGTTTGGTGTAAATTCTTGTAGATTAATTTGTTTAACACAGGCCATGCAGTCCTCCTGTAACACAAATAAAAGTGTTTATTCTACCGCTGAAGACGTGTGTCATATATTTATTTAATTAGACATGATTTTTGCTTACGCAATTGGTGGAAAACCATGATGACAAGAAACCAGTGACTGTAAAAGCTTATGTGACATCCAGAAGCAGCTCTTAAAATAAAAAGTGCTTCAAAATATTTCATCTTATTATGGCGTAAGCATTGGTATCTGCTTGGGGTATGCCCTCTAACGGGTTAAAAGGTCATTTTGCTCAGTAGACGTTAATTCAAGAAAATGTCAAATGACATGTAAATACCAGAAAATGACAGAAGTTAAGTATGGAAAAAACGATTCGCTTATCCAGTCTGTTCCCCAGTCAAAGTGGAATTCCTACAATATGTATATTAGAATTTTGTCAAGTTTTAGGAATCCTTTTTAAAAAAAATCGTAAGGCCTTAGGCCATGTAAAAACATGCTTGTTCAACTACCAGGACTGTGTGTGCAAGTGAGATAAACTTTTCAAAAGTTCTACCATTGGTGTATGGTGTCTAAGGAGGTTGCCATGGGATAAATGGAAATTCAGTGATGAAAGTGAATGACAATCAGCTGAAATGCGGGGGGAAAAGTCTTACCAGTGAGAATGATTGGCAAAGAAATGGAAATACAACAAACCAGAACAGAACAAAAACAGCCCATTGCAGATAGAGAGTAATTAATATGGAGCAGGTGGGATATTTTAATGAATTCACTTCTGTGGGTCCCCCCTTTGTGTTCATTGTCTGTGAATATTCTAGCGAATGACAGGAAGTTGGAGTGAAACAGCAACAATTAAACAAATATCAAAGACAAATTATTCCTTGATTCTCAGAGTTATGCTCAGCCAGTCAGGGGACAGAATTATACCATGCCATTTACGTCCAATCCAAACTAACTAACAGAGGTTGAGTATTGATGAGCACAGTATAAAAACCTGTATGGAGCAGAACAGAACACTCCCAACAAATTGCTTGAGAACAAGCCCTTTGCCAACCATTATCCACAGAAATTGGTGAATAATAATTACATCTGATATTGTAGCCTGTCTGTGGGCAGTTTGTGAACAAACAAACAAAAACAAGATGGAATGTGTCCAATGAATTATGCAATCAGGTCCATGAACAGGAGAATGGAGGACCAAATGGCAGAGAGATTCAGTGATTCATTAAGCTACAGGATGGAAAGAGACCATCTTAGGACCTCAGGGATGACAACTCTGCAGCCACTGTTTTCTCACGTGTTCTCTGTATCCAAAAGGATGTCAATGAGACATTTTTGTTCTTGACACTGCACACACTTGTACTGGCTTATGGTCACTCACATTTAAGAAATCCATAGTAACGAGAAAGGTAGCAGCAACGTAATTGCCTGTGCAATTCTCCTGCTTTCAGAAGTCTGGGTTGGCTGGCAGCTTAGAAAGAATCTAAACATCCAAGGTGTTTATATGGTCCCCATTGCTAACATATGAGAGAACCTCTCAATCTTTGATGTATGTATCCTCACAACACCCATCTAAGATAGGACAATGTTATTATCCCCATTTTGCCAGATGTGGAACAGCGACCCAGATCCCTCCAAGGTAATTGGGTGCTTAACTTTGACTGAAATATCTTGAGGATCTGGGCCAGAGAAACATAGGGTCTGTCTATCCTGCAGCCAGTGTAGAGATGCCCGAACTAGCTTTCATCTTGCTGGCTCAAGAGACAATGGTAGTGAAGCTGCGGTAATACAGACAGCAGCATGGGCTGTTAGCCCAGGACAGAGGGTCTGTACTCAAGTGGGTAGCCTCAGTTCCTGGTTCTTACACGGCACGGATTACTCTCTCTCTCTCCTAGCACTCAATAATCTCTGATCGGGGCTGTATATAGGGCTGCAAAAAGGCTGCACATTAATGCCACTCTTACATTGTGCATCTGCACATTGTACCTAAATTTGAACCATAGATGCCAGCTTTTGAAAACTAACAGTGGAGGGGTGAGATCTTCAAAAGCACTTGGCATTGCTCCCACATTGCTCCCATTGAGAGTGCAGGTAGACCAAGGCAGAGCACTTCTGAAATCCCACTTGAGATATTGGTAGTTATGGGGAAGAGGGGAAACGGAGATGCACCTTAGCCCCCAGGGAGAACTTCTTTTAGGAAGATGTTTAAATAAAGACACCGGTAATTAAATCATAGCGGATACACTGATCAGCACAGTGGTCAGGAAGGAATTTCCCATCACAGTGCACTGTTGGCTAGGCGCAGGGTGAGAGCTAGTGTGGGATTTTTATTCCCTCTTTGTTGTTTTTTTTCTTTTCTCTGAAGCATCAGATATTGGCCTCTGCAGGAGTCAGGATAGCGGTCTTGGTGAACAAATGGTCCTCTCAATAGGGCAGAGGATGGACCAATTACAGGGTGTCCACCCACAAAATAGGCACTATCCTTCTTAAAGGATAAACTCCATCTTTTTTTCCTCCTGACTTTGTCAATCAGGTATTTTCAAAAATTAATCAAATTGGCCAGTCACTGATGGTGGCTCCCAAGATGGACAGCTCAGATTAATCCAGCTGTCTTGGTTCAACTGCATTTTTATTTGGATTTTGGAATACCTTAAAGATGAAACAGTGCACAGTGCATACGGGCCCTGGGAGTGGTTACCATGTAAGCCTTTTTAGAAACCCGGACATCTGGATGAAGCAAGCATGGCTTAGCTGGGGTGGGCTGAACGCTGTCTGCTCCTTTAATACAACAAGTAGGATTTGGGTTAAAGGTACAATTTTTCAGACTGCACTTGCTTCTTTTAATTTCACAGAGTAGGAGATTCTTTTTTTTTTCCCTTTTAAGGGCATAGATTGAGCTTTGTAAGCAGAGGCAGGCCTCCGAGTGCACCTCCAGAATAGGCATTAGATGACAAATTGGCAGCATTTTATTTGTAACGAGCGATTGCATTGCTACAGTGTATTCTATTGCATCTTCGAATACAGGGCTATGGGCCAGATCCTCAGCTGGTGTGAAATGATGTCATTCCATTGACCTTAAAGCCTGACTCTTTTAAAGGCCTGGATCCCTTTGTACTGTGTAGAGAGAGATTTCAGCTCGTCCTGAATGACCACATGAGATGGGGGAAAGCACCAAAAGAGCCCGGACCCCACCTATAAGGGAACAGCATAAGGAGGGTGGGAGTTACAGCACTGCCCACAGGTTTATACACCCCAAAGATCATGGGGAGGGGTTATTGTTCTGCTTTCTGCACCAGCTCCCACTTCAGCCTCTGGCTGGGGGGAATGATACTGCAAACTGCACCTGCAGAATGGGTGTTAGATCTGCTCCCACGGCTGCCGGATGTAATTCTGCTTGTGCACATGCTGTGCAGATAGAATACTCCATGTGGTGCCGTGGCCCTCTGCATCCACCCGCACTGTGGCTGTGCTCGAAAAGCCATGACAGAGCCCAAAGGGTTTGGTCCAGTAGTCAGAGCATGTCATGCGGGAGGCATGTTTCCAGTTTAGACACTTACTTGTGTGCCTTCAGGCAACTGACTTTGCCACTTTGGGCCTTATTTTACCTGGTTTAAAACCGTTAAATGAATACTTAACATCACACATGAGTGCTGTGAGGCTTCGTTAATTGATGTTTGCAAAGCGCTTTGAGTGGAAGAGTCAGCATATTATTATAGCGTGTCCGCAGTCAGATTCCGGTTGGGGAGGGTTGGTTTGATCACAGTTTTAGAAAGCTCTAATTTTGCAACTGTCAGGGACTCAGGGTATGATATTAGGCAAGTCACTCAACTTCTCTCTGCCTCAGTTTCCCTACCTGTAGGCCAGGGATAACGGTGTTCACCCTCCTTTATAAAGCACTTGGAGATCAGCAAGTGAGTAGTGTCCTAAAAGACACATCCTAAAGGTGAACCTGTTATTTACAGGTAGCAGACTAACTGGGGCATGCCAACCTGCAGAGCACCCCGTTACAAAACAGCCTTTATTCACATCTCAAATGCCAGACAAAAACTACCTACAAATCTAACTTCAGTCTTCTTTAAAAATTGGATGATTTTTTCTAAAAGGAGAGCTCAAGTATTAAAATAAAACATGCTCTCATGATTTTTAACGCACACTATACATTCAGTAGAATACTCCAAGACAAGTAGATACACAGATTTATCTGTACTTCTTGTGTAGCCAGACAACAGTTCACCTTCTGTCTTAAGGGGACTATTCCACACTGATTGTGCACTCAAAACTCTCATTGAACTTAAGTTCTGTGTAGGACATTAACTATACTTAATGAATATATTAACAAGAGTGCTAAATGGAAGACACGGGAGGTAATTGTCCTGCTCTGCTCAGCACTGATAAGACTTCAGCAGAAGTTCTCTGTCCAGTTGTGGGCACTGCACTTTAAGAAAAATATGGACAAATTGGAGAAAGTCCAGAAAAGAGCAATAAAAATGAGAAAAGGTTTAGAAAATCTGATGGATGAGGAAAGATTAAAAACAAAACAAAACAGGGCATGTTTAGTCTTGAGAAAAGAAGACTGAGGGAAGACCTGATAATAGTCTTAAAATATGTTAAGAGCTATTATAAAGAGGATGGCGATCAATTGTTCTCCATGTCCACTAAAAGTAGGAAAAAAGTAATTGTCTAAATCTAAAGCAAGGGAGATTTAGGTTAGATATTGGGAAAACCTCTCTCACTGTACAAATTGTCCAGTCTGGGTCTGGTTGATGATCTAAAAACCTGACATAAACTTGATACCAAGGGGGCAAACCCAATGGTGGGTTTGAAAAACTGACACCTACCAATGCTCTAGGCTGGAGTTGGTGAGGGGGGTGTCACCTCTGTTAAGCTTTTCACTTGCGGGTAGGTTCTTTTATTGGTATTTTTAAAATATGTTTTCTCTGTAATGCTTTTACCTTAAGAATAAATGTGCTTGCTTAGAAACAGCTGTGTAGTAACTTGTACACTGCTGGCAATGGACTGTGCATAGTCCTTGGTGAGAAAGCAAAGCACAGGCACAGGCCTTTAGGCAGATTGGTTGGCTGGGGATACTATAGCGTAAGGCAAGGAGCAGACTTAAAACCCCCAAGGGCCCCTACCCAGAGACAGGTGATGGCAGAAGACCTGAGACCTGACTGAGAACTCTTGGAGTGGACCATGGAGAGGGGGGTACAGATGCAATTAACCTGAAGCTGTGATACCCGTCAATGGAGGTTTTTAAGAACAGGTTGACAAACACCTGCCAGGGATGGTCTAGGTTTACTTGGTCCTACCTCAGTTCAGGGGGATGAACTATATGACAGCTCAACGTCCCTTCTAGTCCTACATTTCTATGACTCTATACAAGGAAGATATTCGGTATAACTGCCACATGTTACAGTAAACTTGTTACGGGATTGCTTATTATAGAAAGAGATTCAGAAAAGAGAAGCTCTACTCAAACCAATGAAACTGGTGAGCCAGACAGAGACTGTGGTGCTTTTCTTTTAGCAACTCAACCTCAAGCAATGTGGGGCTTTCCCAGCTACGACTCGCACTCTACATTTTACTGTCAGTTAAAAAAAAAAAGTACAGTGAAAGATGTTGGGTTTTCCACTCTGTAAGCAGTTTAAATTTAGAAACCTTATTACCATATACCTTCCAGCTAGCATTGCAAGATGGTTTAATCAGTCAAGGAGCCAATTCAACCCTTCACTAAGCCCACTGAAGTCATGGAGTTACATCAAGATGCATTTGACCCCAAGGCGTTCTCTCAGAATGAAAGGTTGTTTCAAATGCCGTCGGATGACAGCCTCAGAAGAGTAGTGAAATATTACTCAGAACAGTTGCTGCACTTTTCCTTATGGGAATTCCTCTTGTAAACATCACCAACAATATTTCAGGCCAGATTTTCCTGCATGTGCATGTTTTGCAGTTACCACAGTAGATCATGCCATTGTGAGAAGTATGCACACCTCCCACTGCCAAAATATCTTACCGACTTACCACCATTGCACACATCATTCTGAAAATCTGACCCTTTATTTCATTCCTTGGAATGGTTTTCTTGAAGTCTCTCCAGAGGGGAAACCCTGAATACAGGTCTGCAATTTTACTGTGGCATTCTAAGGCTTGGTCTACACAGGGGGCAGGGTGGGGGGTGAGGGAAATCGATCTAAGTTACGCAGCGTTATTCACGTTGCTGAAGTCGACATACTTAGAGTTACTCACCGCAGTGAAGACACCGCGGTGAGTAGCTCTGAGTTGACTGCTGCCGCTCCCGTCAACTCTGCCTGCGCCTTTCATGGCGGTGGAGTACAGGAGTGGACGGGAGAGCATTTGGGGGTCGATTTATTGTGTCTAGACTAGACGCGATAAATTGACCCCTGCTGGATCGATCGCTGCCCACCGATTCGGCGGGTAGTATAGACATACCCTAAGTCAACATAATGGGGTAGATTTGTCAATAATGGCTCATATCTTGTGACCCATGTGCACTCTCCAGGCTGACTATTCCTGATACTCCATCTTTTGAATTGTGTTTGTTCAAAATTGAGTGAAATGTTCAAAAAGTTTAATATGCTTATTCAGAAACCGGCAAATTTGGGCCAATGGCACCTCACAAATAATCACCCACTTAACTTGGAACTATTGCATGTGTGAGTGGCTAATTTAAAGTTATCAGTGCTGGACTGTCAGTCCTGGTCATTAAGAATAGGATTTTCAAAAGCGTTCAGCATCAGTCTGATTCTGTTCACACTGAACCAACTGGTAAACTCCCATTGATTTCAAGGGGAATAAAGCTCAGCATTTTTCAAAATTCCTCTGCTGTCCACAGAATGGTACAGGAAACCATCAGCAAACGTGTCCCACAACTCCTCACCAGCTGCACCTTAAAACCCCTTTGTGGAGATACCATGCAAGGGTGAGACTAAAGTGCAGTCTGCAAAGCCAATTCATTCCTTGGCTTCTTTGCTAAGACCGTTCGCAAGAATGCCAATGAGTGCTGGTGTTTTTTATGCTCTGTCAGCTAACCGGTGGGTTGAGACCATCCAGAGGGGAAAGGATCTCCATTCCAGCCATTCCCATTCCCCTGCACTACCTAGTCCTACTACAAAGTGCTCCAGATGTAGCTTTACTTTGGGACATGGGATGGCTCAAAGGACTGATGATGTGCACCCCCTTTGACTCCTAGATTAGTGGTTTGAACCTTGCCTCAGCTGATAGTTACCAAGAGTCATAGCCATCTGAGAGCATTATCCTGGCCTACAATAGTGCAATGAGATGATAATCTCAAGCATTTCTGAATGGACCATTACCCACAGCTGTGTTGGCAATCTCAGCCCTAGCGCCACTTTTATTAATAAATACAAAGCGGCCTCTCCCATACAGGTGCAGATTTCACAGACATACATCCTCCGTTGCCCACTCATTACTTGCCCATTTCTGAGCTTTTAAGTGGAGGGGGGGAGCAGGAATTCCAAGCTCTCCTCCTGACCTTTTTTCATTTCAATGCGTGTCCCAGGTACCTTGCCAAGAAAATGCAAGAAAGAGCTGCTGGCAGTAAAGCTACGGAACAGGCCAAGTAAGCAGGAACTGGAAGACAGGAACATTTTCCCAAGGAGGACGGATGAGGAACGACAGGAAATCCGGCAGCAAATCGAAATGAAACTTTCAAAGTAAGTCAGTTTAAGAGACGGAAGGGGGGTAATCTTTATAGTGAAGTCTCCTCTGCACCTCACCTCACTATACACATGTCCCTTAGCCCATTTCCCATGGGGAGTCATGCAGAAAGGGACAACATCAACAGCAGACAGCAGTCTTGGTTTCAGGGCCATGCTTTGCTTTTGATCTCTGAGCTCACACACTTTGTGCTGTGGGCTGGTCACCTGATCTCCTTGAATCAGGCTATTCCACCCTAAAATAAAAAGCAAAACTCAATGCAGTGAGTTAGATTCTGGCCCTGGAATGTATGCCTGCACTTCCCCTTGAAGTCAATTGAGTGTGCTAGCTCCTATCAGGAGCACTAAATTAACCACCAAACTTTTCAGCTTTGTCTACACTTGCACTTATCCTTGATTGCAGCCATCAGTGTATCTGCAAACCCGCATTATAGGCAGGGAAAGCTGCAGTGTGCACTGGTGGGGCTTAACTGACCCTGTTTCAAATAAGGGTCAGCTTCAGCAGGGCTTTCTTTGCCAGAGCTAGAGATTTGCAGAGGGGCAGCTCCACAGATGGCTGAAATCTGGGCTAATTGGAAGGGTAGGAAAGACCTGTTTTCTTTGAGTAAATGGCTTGCAAACACTTAACCAGGGCATGAGGGCTCAGCTGTATAGGAGAAACCAGTATTGCAGTTAGATAGTGTAAGCAAAGATTTACAGAAACCATTAGATTCAAATTGCATTGGTTTTTTTTTTTAAATAGCTAAATTTAGATTATTTGCAAACCTGAATATTTTAGTTGTGACAAAATGGATTGTTAAATAATCTGTGCTGGGTGCTCCCACACTAGAATAGGCAGTTCTGAAGGCAGCCAAAATGGTTGAAATCCAACTGTGAAAGCTGAACAGGAGTTCATATTGGAGGCTTTTTAAATATTAATCATTGGAATCTGCTTTTTCAAGAAACAGTTGCTGTTATTCAAGCAAGAGCTGGGCCAGCTCTTCAGTCTGTACATTTAATGAACTTTTGTTTTAGATCAGGGATCGGCAACCTTTGGCATGCGGCCCATCAGGGAAATCCCCTGACGGGCTGGGATGGTTTGTTTACCTGCAGCATCCACAGGTTCGGCCGATCGCAGCTTCCACTGGCCAATGGGGGCTGCGGGAAGCAGCTCGGGCCGAGGGATGTGCTGGCCTCCACTTCCCGCAGCCCCCATTGGCCTGGGACGGCGAACCGCGGCCTGCCAGCGGATTTCCCTGATGGGCCGCGTGCCAAAGGTTGCCAATCCCTGTGCTAGAGGATTGGGAATGAGGTTGATAGATCAGAGTGCAATTCATAACGGACAGATGTCTACATCATAAAACACATCATCACATTTGGCCCCTCTGCTGGCAATCTCAGCTAAAAAAAAGACCAGTGATTGAACATGAAGAATAAAATATTTTAGAGTACTTTACAAATGTTAGTTAAGCTTCACAGTACCCGGGATGCTGATAATGGATACAGAGGATTCATTTTACTTTGTTTATTATCTTTATTTAATATTTGTATTATGGTAGTGCTTAGAAGCCAACAGATAATGGGACCATATCGTACTAGGCACTGCACAAACACAGAGTAAAACACAGACAATGGATTTAACATGCAGGTAGAGTGAACAATGTGATGGTTGACAATCACCACGTTAGTGCCAAGATGTGAAGCCATCTTTGGGAGTGGATCATGGGGGACGTTCCACCATATATAACTGTCTTGCCAACAGCTTAGGACAGAAAATGAAGAATACATGGGCCTGATCCTGTAAGCCCTGCACATGTGAAACGTCCATTTGCCTTCCTGAGCTATTGGAAGTGTAGGTGCATTTTAGGCAGGCAGAAGTCCCCAAGTTGCAATTTGGCCAAGATATTGGGCTTAACAGTCTTAGTGACACGTGCAAAATTACGATGTGATCTGTAATAGGCAGTCAGGAGCCTGATTTTACAACTCATCTGAAACACTTGGAAAAGTGCCCCCTGATGCTAGACGGGGACATTTGTATAGTCTTCACTCAGTGTGAAGGGCGTCATCTAGTGAATCTCCAACATCTCTTCCTGCTGTAACACTTGGGTGCTCCGTGGAGGTCTCCTGTCTAACTACCAGCCCAGCCTAGGGTGACCAGATAGCAAGTGTGAAAAATCGGGATGGAGGTTTGGGGGGGGGGGGGCGGGTAATAGGAGCCCATATACAGAAAACCCACCCTGAATATCGGGACTGTCCCTATAAAATTGGGACATCTGGTCACCTTAGTCCAGCCTGACCCTATTTGGTTTGTGAGAGCCAGTGGAATCTTAGCACAACTTAGGATGGCTACAGGCCATTCCCCTTTCTTTGTGGGTACCATTTAGCCACTTTGTGGTGGAAAAGGAAAATAAGTTTAAGAAATTATGCCTAAAATTAGTGTCAATATAAGGACTTACGACATAAGTGTGTCTGCCTACCAGAGGAGCATAATGCATGATCATGATTGGAAGTTGTGGAAGGAAAGGTTTGGTGCACAAATATAAAGAAGACAGCTGATGAGGAGCAGTCTATGATGTAAGTTATTAATCTGGTAGGTAATGTCTACAGATGGCTGAAAGCACATGCTCATTTAGTGTAACTGAAGACATGCTTTCATGTACCTCCTCCTTCTTCCCAGAACTCAAACAGGTTGAGTGCCACTCATGAAACAGAAGGTGCAGAGATTGCTAGAATAGCCTGTCATGCAAAACAGATTGGAGCCAGTCCCCCACACAATTTCTGAGCATATATGAGCACTGAGACAGCTTGCTCTTTGCTCATCAAACAGAATAGAGCAGGACGATGTCTGCAGATATCTCACGGGGAAATATTTTCATGATGAAAGGCACGCACATGTCAAGGATAACCCCATTTTGGAAATACAGAACTATGTAGTGTCCTGGGGATATCCCCTCAATGTCTGACTCCCACTTTGGGGAGAACCACAGAAAAAACCGACTTCTCCCCAAAAAACCATGCCATGTTTTACACTAAACTTGGTGCATACTTGGCCAGGAGTTTGTAAGTTTAGTTAAGGTGGTGGAGATGCCTATGCAGTGCAGAGATGCGTTGAGATTTTCAAATATCCTTAAATCCATTTCAATGGGAGTCTGTGGCTAAATCCCTTAGTTGGCTTTGAAAATCTCAGTGGTGATCAATTCTTAAAGAGTATTCTTATAGAGTATTTCCCGGATCCGCCTTCCCCCACCCCCCCAACATGCTATAAAAACTACAGGGGATTGGAAAATATTTACCTGAGCTCTGCTCTGGACAACTCCGGCTGAATTTAAGCCCTGAGTTTATAGATGTGGAACTCACTAGTGAGTTCTCAGATTTAAGGAACTCTCTTTATCTTAGGATCCAGCATCTGGTTCCAGTGGAAATTGCTAATGTGTGTGTGATCTGACCACCATGTAGATGGATTTCAGCACACGGCAGCTACTGTTCCAATGATAGCATTGTGATGATAATGCTGAGCGGGGCTTACTCAACTATGAATCCAAATGTACAATCCAATTACAAACCTGTCCTCTGCGGCTAGAGATGTGATTCCCAGCCTGCACGGACATACCTGTGCTAGCTCTCACTGAGTGCGTGCGCTAAAAATAGTAGTTTAGCCACAGTAGCACAGCCAATGGCCCAGGTTAGCTGTCCCAAGTACCTACCCATAGGGTCCAGGCAGGCTTGTATTCAGGCCAGCTTGCCCATGCTATCATTTGCTGCTGCCTGTGTTACCGTGGCTACCCTGCTATTTTTAGCACTCTAGCATGATGAGAGCTAGTGTGAGTATGTCTACACTCCCACCTCTAGGTGTAGTCATAGCCTAAGAGAGGAGATAGAACCGGGAGACTGATGACTCGTCGTTCAACAGCTGTCTGATTCTTGATAAACTAGCCAGTAGATAGGCAGCCATGTTCCAGATACGTTGTTTACCAGCTGTATCCTCATGGATTTGAAGGAGTTCTAGGGTAGCTAGCAAAGTTCTTCTGTAACACCGACAGACCCCAATCATCGGTGGGCAGGATCAAACCTGGGACCTATGGAGCTTAGTGCATGAGCCTCTACAGCATGAACTAAAAGCCAACTGGCTGTTAGCTAAGGCTGTAAAGCAAACTCATTAATATCTCTCTCTAAGTGGTCTCGGTGCCACTAGATGGAACAGAGCACCACACCCAGGAGGTGTGTGGCTTATACTTCCATCCCACCTTTAAATCACTAATTTTACATGACACAACATTCTGCTGGCTGGAAGGAGAGCCGTGCTTAAGTATTTTATGAAAATACTGAAATAATTATTTTAGAGTTAGTCAAAAAATGGGAAAACTTTTCATGAAAAACGGGTCCCGTTGCTTCACCCAAAAAAATGTCAACATTCAAAGATTCTGGATCAATTCTAACTGATAGCTATAATAGCTGGAGAGAAAGTGGATGCTCAACTTTTGCACGGATAAATAGTGACACAGCCAGACCCACAGCACCCTTCCTCACTCCAACTTATCAGGTGGCCTCCTCACTCCCCATCAGAACCGAATCCTGAAAACTCCTTAAGCAGATTCTGCTCTTATTCCATTAGAAATCCATTGACTTCAGTGGAGTTGCTCCTGACTGACATCAGTGTGGGGCAGAATCCCTCTCTTTTCCCCCCATTTCTAATCAAATAAATTAGCCACTTGTTGCTATGGAAATATGCCCCTCCCCAAATGGCAGTATTCCATATTTCCCCAGATTGCCTCATTCAGTAGCATTCATCTCTTACTAATTTATCTGTCCCTGATGCTTCAGGCCATGGCAGACACTGGTAATAATCTATTGTGTTCTAGACAATTGAGGTTCTGATGCGCCAGGCTCCTGACATTCCTTGTTCGCCTTCACTATGTGTTCTGAGTGCAGATAATAAGACCTCAATGGCATTAAATGAACTGAGCCCATTATATCAAGAGGTTAAAAAAAAACCATTTACAAATATGATTATTTGCAAT